CCCCCCGTCCCAGGGCGCTAGGGACACGACATGTCTGTGACTCCCCCCCGTCCCAGGGCGCTAGGGACACGACATGTCTGTGACTACCCCCATCCCAGAGCACTAAGGACAAGCCATGTCTGTGTCTGTGTCCTTGACTGCCCCCAGAGTGCTAAGGCATTACGTTGCTCTTTCATTCAGAAAGTCGGATCTGCTGAGGAAGGAGGTGACGGCCACGGGAGAGGCCAAACGCAGCTCCCTATGGCGGACCACAGACCCGTCAGCAGGCTCCATCAGCGCAGGGAAGTGTAGATGCAGCCCGAGTCATGCCCCAGGGCCCTGGCTGACATCACAGGAGAAGCCCTGGGCTGAGCTAAGCGTGCGCAGCTGGCCCCCCAACTTGGCCTGCACAGCCGTGGCCATGTGACGTCCATGCGAGTGGACAAGACCATGCTAATGTGATGCTGTGGCCCTCCCTGGGGACAGGACAGCTTGGTCCTTGGCCCTGCAGCTGTGGGCCCTTTACCTGAGGAGGATGCTCTGCTGGGCGGAGGCAGGAGGCAGCCGGGGCCTCTCCTGAAGGCTGCCTCTAATCTGAACACACGGACCTGCTCAGCCAAACTATGACTACGCACTGCTTAACAAGCCTCTCCTCAAGGGAGGACACTTTACGGACGAGGCCCCGGCCCTGGGCAGACGGGAGATCAAACCTCCTGTCTCCCACCCAGAGCTGCAGCCGCCACGTGAAGTGGGGCTGCCTGCAGCGTGACGACACACAGGCAAACCTGTCCGGACGCACACGGCTGCCTCTGCGGACTCTCCAGAGAGCCCAAGGGGGCTCACAGCACGGTTCTGGGGCGAGGCCGGCCTCAAGTCACAGGCAGCTGGCCCTCCGGCCTCGGGGCAGTGGCAGCCTGTCACTTGCCCGCCCAAAGAGCACGCGCAGAGCTCGTCCCCTTCAGCCGAGAACCTCCCCCTCTGAGCAGTGGAACCTGGGTAAGCCTCCCACACGGAAGCCAGCTCGGCCACACTCACGGCAAACACCAGCCACTGTCCGGGAACACCTATCCTTTCACTCCTGCCTTCAGCGTTTTTAAGTTCTTATTCGGAACATCTGGCCGCCACCTGGCTTCCCCAGGTGCTGGTGTGGGCCATGGCAGGGACCACACCCTCAGCTGGGCACTCACGTCGCGCATGTTGGTCTGCACCACGGCCCGGTCCAGGTGGTGGGAGGGCAGGTTGGCGGTGGCTCGGAAGATGGCATCTCTGTCCGGGGCTTTCTGGTCTTGTTTTTTCTACGTGAAAAGAGAACGAGAGAGTCAGAGATGGACGGAAGAGCACTAAAAGACAGGAGTACAGCTAAACCATGAGGGCTCCCCCAGGGCCACCCCTCCCGGATGGGAGAGCCAGTTCCTAGCTGGGAGTCGGAGCTGTGCCCCTGGTGAGAGGGGACCTCAGTGCAGAAGGCTGGCTGTGACCCGCAGGCCACCCTTCCACCCGCCTGGCACGACAAAACACAGTGACAGGGAGGCAGACAGGCAGAGCGGGCTCAGGGACAGGGCCGGGGCCAGCCTCGCACACACAGCTGTGTGCTGGGACAGCCTGGCAGACAGAACCTTCCCCACAGAACAGCCCACAGGCTCTGAAGGGAGAAGCAGCCATCCACGAGCTGAGAAACGAGGTGGGGCCTAGCCGGTTAGTTTGTGGCACTGCTCTGGAGTCACCAGCGAACGGTGGTTGGGAAGGCATGGCCCCAGGGGAGGTGGGAGAGCCAGCGGCGTCAGCGGCCGGGCACAGGGGGTGCAGGAGCCCAGAGGACAGCTCAGCGGGGAGGGAAGCAATAGGTGGCCGATCTGCGGCCACATTTTCCAGAGGCTCATCAGCAACCCCACGGAAGGATCTGGGAATCAGGGAGTGTTTTACGGTAAGGCTATAGAGCACTAAGCATCAAGACGACGAGGCGACTGCTAACTCCAGGACACCGCAAAGCTCTGTCACGAACTGTCACGTCTGTCCCATCGAGTCTGACCCACGGCGCCCCTAGAGGACAGGGTGGAACTGCACCACAGTCTCCAAGGCTGTAACCTTCATGGGCACAGACCGCCTCATCTCTCTCCCACGGAGCAGCTGGTGGGGCTCCAAGCAGCAACCTTTGGGTTAGCAGTCAGGCAATTAACCGCTGTGCCAGCAGGACCCCTGCAACAAGGACTAAGTCATCCGAACTCACTGCTCACAGTAAGGCGAAGCATCCATAGTAACACCAACAGAAAGCCTGAACCCTTCTCTAACCACGGACAATCTCACCAACACGGAGGGCTAAGGGAGAGAAGGCGGGGAGAGGGCAGCGGGCCAGAGGCACATCCCCAACAGAAAGCCTCCCGAATCCAAAACTGCATTCGAGACACAGCAGCAGATGCATGGGATGACAAAACCAGGAGTTCCCGAGACACAGAAGACCTGCACACGGGGCCCCCAGGGCTGTGGGGCGGGTGGGCTGGGGCGGGGCCTCCAGGGCTGTGGGGCGGGACAGGCGGGAGGTGGGGCGGGACAGGCGGGA